GAAACTCCTCCATAGCCCAAGACTTAAACAGGTTATTTCATGTGTCAGTTCAGCCAGTGCAGAGGAAGTGAAAATCACCCTCAAATGCCCCTTTTTGGAAAGTCCTCTGGAAGACAGGGAACTTCCCAACTTTAGAGTACTGCCAGAACATCCTATTTCAGCAGACTCTTCCAGAATAAATGCTTTGTTAGACTGTGCATTTCCTTGGGACACTCATCTGGGAAAAATTAGGATAATTTCTTTAATCAGGCATTGTGGCTGGGGCAGGGAGAATCAGGGAGCCACATGACCTCTCTCTCATATGTCTGTCCTTTGTGGCTGTGTAGGACTGGGGGGAATCCATCCTCTACTAATGTGCCACTGCAGGCTTAGACAGCCCAATGAACCATTCTGTTTGCCCTCAGGCTCCTCCAACTTGAAATCAAGCAACAGAGCCACTTTCCTGCATGGAAGCTGCTCAGCAGGAGAAACAGGGAAGAGGTAGCAGCTGCTTAGAGCTCTCCCCTTTTGCATCCAAGCTGCTTGCTGGCCCTGAGGTGCAGGGAGGGGGAAAGGGTGATGGGAGGCAGCTGGGGAATGTGATGCCCTCTATATCCTTCCTGTAGTGACAAGCCTTATTCAAACACTTCAGTTTGAAAAGCTCAGAGTGCAGCTCCAGGAGAATGCTTTCAATTCATAATCAAATATGGGGCAATAACAGATGGATAAAACAAACAAATGTGGGGGAGGATGAGGTACATTCTCAAACACTCTGGAGTGTGTTCTGGGAAGAAGACACCCACTTTCTACATGTTTTTTCTCATTCAGGGTAATCTATGGGGTGAGTGAACTTTGGTACCTTCTTCACTGTGCTCAAAAAAAATGCTGGAAGATGCACCTCTTTTTTTTTTTTTTTTTTTTTGTGTGTGTGTGTAAAACAGTTCTCATGTCCTTGCAGGCTTTGAAGCTCTTCCTACCCCTGCTGTATTACTCCTCTCCTTCTTACATGAGGAAACTGAGCAAGTAGCTTGTCTTTCTGATCAGCACTAATCCTCCCCTGTCACTTTGCCAGCAGATGCAGCCTGCTGAGTGGAGCCCTGGCACAGCAACCCCTACGTGCATTAGGGCTTCATTGTGTTACACTCCTCATGATCCCTGCTCTGCAAGCTCTGCAAGAGGCTCTTCTGTCCACTGGTGCTCTGGGCTCCCACTGCATGTGCAGCCAACTCCATTGTTCTGTTGGTGATGATAATACATGGGCTTTTACAGCTAAGAAAGCTTCCATGCAAGCTGGGGGGCTTCTCAAGGCACAGCAGGTCAGTCACCAGAAAACCAGCAAAATGCTAGAGGAGTCTGTAATGATTTATCATCTCAATGTGCTTGAGTTCCTATGGCTCAGGACTGCATATGAGATTTAAAACCTGCAGCAGACATGCAGATGTGGGGACATTGGTAGTAAGTGAAGGTCCTGACAAAATGGTGTAAGGTGAACTTTCTCAGTTCAATCTTGTTAATCAGTACAGGGTTACTGAGCAGACAGGGAGGATCTCTGCAGCTGGCAGGCCTGTGCAATAGTAGCTACAAGTGAAGCATGTCAGCATCTTGGAAATCAAGTTTTTAACTTCATGGGTTAATGGCACATAGATTATAATAGCAGAATTTCCCTCCTATTGTCTGTAGCAAGAGATCTCTCACCTTTAATTTGTTTTCAAATGTGATCCATTTCTGCCACCTGTCAGCCAGCCACAGATACAATGTCATACCTGTAGTGAGGTAAAGGACAGAACCAAGTAGTCAGTTTGAGGAAAGGGTAATATACATTTCAAATCAGCAGCAGTTTAATTCTAGAAACAATGACAAAATGCTTTTAATTTTTGATCTCGAGTTCAGTTTTGGAGCCTTGTTTTGAAAACAGAACATTCTCTTGGCATGCCTCTACTGATTTCTTAAATGTGCCAGTGGAGGAAACATCGTGCTCCTGTCTTCAGCTTCTTTGTAATAAGATCCAGTTAAACAACTAAAGATATTAAAAATTCATTAGAGCATTTCAATGGTGTGGTGAATGAGACCTGTTGTTTATCAAAGCATTTCCAGCCAAATAAAATGCCTTTTTTTTTTTTTAATCATATAGGGGAAGACATTTGTTCAGAGTGCTTTGTATAAAATTGATTTTGTATTTATATGGAAATCATTTTACACTTCTTTAATGAAGCAGTAGGTAAAGTTAGGTAATAGGGCAGATCCGTGAGAACATCTCAGCTTCAACTGCCAAATTCCCCTTTAGGTCAAACAGCACAGGTGAATTACATCACAGTACTTGGGCGGTACTCAGCAATAAAAGAAGTTAATTGCAAATGCTTCATTAATTGTCTTCCCCATGAAGGGTTTTTAGGGTACCTTAAGGTTTGCAAGTGAAAATACGGTGAACCAAATTCTGCTCTGAACTCCTAATGGTGTCTCAGAAAGGAGATCTTGGGTTACCCACATGAACTATCAGCCCCCAAATTATTGTGATACTTACTTCTGACACTGCTAGATACTAGAAACATAGGAGCCTTTGGGCAAATCGAAATTGTATTGTCAAGGCAAATTTGCCACAAGAAAATAGCTTATCAGGTCTCATTTTGAGAATGCTAAATTGTGTTCTGTATAGATTTCTGGAGCAGCATCAGGTTAACTGATATTTAATTTCTGTTCAGCTGCATTGACTGTGACCAAATCAAGAGCCAAATAGCTGATGCAGTTTCTTATCACCCAGAAACTTGAACAAGTTCTTCAAAAGCTGTTATCATGGAAATAGCTCTATTCAATGTGATTTCAGTTCTACCTCTCAGTGTGGTTACTGAGAATGCTAGCTGGAGATCTGAAGTTAACCACAATGTCCCAGTACAATAAAAGTTGAGCCAATGCATTAGATCTGCATGACCTTTCACAGGAATCTAGATTGAAGGTGACAGCAAACTTGACAATTGAGTTAAGACTCATGTTGGTGAGGAAAAATTGTATGAGGCTTGCTGCAGTTCCCATCAATCTAAACACAGTGGGGTCTGGTATTTTTGTTTGAAGGATTCTGTTATTCTTTTAAAACTATTTGAAAGGGTAATGGACATTTATGCTTAGAAGACTAGGTCCCTATTTGAATTTATGAGATTTCAGTACTTTAAGCTTTAAATTAGTATTTAAAATGTATGCTTATCTTATGATATAAAATCCGTGGTTAAGCTTAGAACATAATGTTTCTCCAGATGTTTACATACATGAGCCAAACTGAGAAAAAGATTGTCAAATAATTTAATATCCAGCTCTGGAGAAAAACTTGCTTGAAATCTCTTCTGAACTGTGAATCATTAAAAAGAGTAATCTTAAGTGCACAGTATTTTTCAATGGAAGTCTGAAAAGACTTCATAGTCTTAAAAGGACATATTTTATATACACACATTAAAGATGTACTTTTAAGCCTCCAAATAAAGATATATAAAGGATACTACTTTCAATACTGTGATTTATCATGAACAGAACATGCTCAGTTCTATGCATTTTTCTCTTGCATTTAGAAATTTATTCTTGTCAGAAGTACAGAAGCTTCCAAAGCTTCCTTTTCTTGTAAAGATGTGCCTGATCTTATCTTCTATAAAAAGCTCTATTTTGGCTAACACTCTATTTACATAGGAATGCAAGCATAATTAAATGCTGACAGCAAGAGGTCTGTTTGGGTGAAATCTGAATGAATATCTTATAGCGATGTGGTTAACAAACCTTATAAAAATAAAAAGGAGAAGCTGCACCCTCACACGCTGGGCAGTGTTAGTAGAGGGTGTCCTGGAGTGGAGGTATGTAAACAACAAGGTGGCAGTGTTAGGTTTGTGGTGTTGACAGCAGCATAAACAGCATAAAGAAGCCTTCTAAACAAAATCTCCAGCTGATCAGTGGAGCCGACCCACCACAGGCCTCCCGAGCTGCCGAGGAGGCGAGGTGCATGGCTAGAGGTGCCTGTGTGCTTGCACCAGCAGGGAAGCTGTGCTGTGAGGGACTGCTCAGCCATGGGGCTGGGAACAGGTGTGACCCCAAGTGGACATGGAAGCTTTAGAGGGCTGGCACATCGCAGGGCTTCAGCAGCACCAGGTCTTCTGCTGCCCCAAATTCCAGAAAAGTAAGAAGTAGCCCTGCTAAAAGTTAATTTAGCAAACTACTAGGCTTTCTCTGTCAGGAAAAAAAACAGAGTGAGTGAAATCCTAACCCCCTTAAATCCATAAGGATGTTACAGCTGATTTCAGATAGTGGTAAAACATTAACCTTTCCCTTTTCCGAAGTCTCTCTAGCCCAAGCTACCTGTGTGGTTTTTAAGAGCACAGAAAGGAATCAATACTCTATCCATCTTTCTCCTTTTCTAAATTGTCCATTTGTCTGCCTATTCTGTTGGAGTCAAAACCCAGTGTGTGTTGGAATCACCCATGGATGCTGAAAAGCAGTGCAGTATCGGTGATATTTTCCTGATGTCCAGGAGGAATGATGAGGAGAACTCCATCTTATCAGAAGGCTAATTAATGACTCTATTATACTATATAATTCTATACTATATTACACTGAATCTAAACTGAATCTGCACAAGCACCCAACTCAACTCAGCTGCCCAGAATCTCGTGACTGTCTGCTGACCGACAGTCTGCACACGTGCTTGGCCCTGATAGGCCAAGGAAACAAAACACCATCACTCTGGCTAAACAGTCTCCACATTGCATTCTACTTTGGCACAACACAGGAGCAGCAAATGAGATATGAATTGTTCTGATCATTCTTTTCTCTGCTTCTCTCACTGCTTCTCTCAGGTTCAGAGAATGTGAATCTCACAGTGTGACATGAAGGAAGTACTGATTTGCACAGTGTTGTGGCTCTTGCTAAGAATGGACAGTGAGCCAAGGTATCTTCTTTTTTATGTCACAGGCCATGAAAAGTGGTGCTAAGTGAGATATGAACTGGCCTGAACAGATGCAGCTGGTGTGTTTGACTGTGATAAGTGGGGGAAAAGCATGCCATATCTTCCCTTAGGAATGTGTTTATTGGTTGAAATGTTTCATCTGATACCATTTTTTACTGGTAAGTTTAAATAGGGAATACATGCATACTTGTACCAAATACATAAATAGGTGGTTATAGTTGGGTTTGCTCTCATTAATGCAGTTATTCACTGTTGCCAATGTTTTAAAATGTATCTGTATAAACTTGGGCATTTAGATCCATATTTCAGTTTACAAAGAAGTGGTCTTATTTTCCAAAGCACTGAGAGACTACGAGACTTCATGAAGAATAATTGCATGAGCATCAAGTGAAGTTTTGACATGATTGCATGTAGATAGATGTGATCACAGTTGTTCATGTAGAAATCAGATCCATTCCAGATTCCATTCTAGAAGATGTATAGGTACATTCATTCAGTGCTAATGTCCTGTGTCTCACCAGCTTGTTAGTAAGTGCCATCTGGTTTAAAATCAGAAGAAGAAACTGTTTTTGGAAGATTCCTAGGTTATGGTATTTCAAATTTCTTTGTAGCTGCAATTAAACCTACTAAATAGTCAAGTATTTAATAGCATATTTTGTAGCACTACCTTTATTTGGCTTGTAGTGTAGTTGATTAAATTTAGAAGACTATACAGGCTTGTCCTTTCTTTTTAGTTGACTGATGGAAGTAATTTGTCACTGTTTCCATCACAGGCCACATGATTAGGATCAGAGTCAAGAACACAACTGTGCAGATCTCAACCACTGGGACCATTGCTGTGCACTGAGATAACCAAAAAAGGTAGAGACTGAAAGAAGACAGTGTGATTTGAAATTAATCAAGATGTAACAACTCCCTTCTGTAGGCTGTGGTTGGGAATTCTCAGCTGAGCTGAGTGTTCCAATGGCTGATTCACAACTGCTGGCCTGTTCCTTCTCTGACCTAACGCTGTGCTCTTCTCACAGCTGCTGAGCTGCTGATAAATCCTCTGAAGTCTAAAACCTTGGGTTGCCTGAGGTTAAGGGAGCCCTGACAGTCTGCACCAGCTGAAGATCAGTTCCTGGGTATCTGAACCCTACAGGGAGTGTTTTTTTTCCAGTGAGCAAGATGTTTGAGGGAACTGCAGGGACTGTGATCTGAGAATACTGGGGGGAAACAACAGCCAAGATCCAAATAATAGTTCCTTTGGTAGCAGCTAACACATTTCCTGACTGCAGTGTTGTCCATGTAACTTGAAAAGAATTCTGAATGAGTCTGTGGCAGAATAAACTAGTTAATGAGATCATGGGAGAGGGCTTTTTTTTCCTTGATGACCAACCGTTGTCTTGTCTGGTGGTAATAAATACACGACAACCACAACTAATGGAAGAGCTTATAATTGCCAACAATACTGGATCCAAGGCTTTCTTTTCCATGGGCCAGTGCAGTACATGGGCCACACTGTAGTTCAGAGGAAGAGCAGACAGGCTGAAAGCAAAATATAGATTTCCCCTTCCAGCGTGGGCTTTTGCAACACTTCTGAAAAAAAAAACCCAAAAAACCCCAACTCCCCGTAGAGTATTTATTTCAGTTAATCTTTAGAGACCAGTTACACAACTCAGGAAAAGTATGTGAAGTAAAAGGTAGGATGCTTTCCATAAGGATGACTGGGCTGGGTAGGAAGATCTGCTTCTGATTAACATGCCAAGAAGGTACTGAGGTTGAAAGAGAATTTTACTAGACTCTTTTAAAGGAAACTGTTTAGAAAAATACCATGTACTGACCTTTGAGAAAGATCTCCAGAATCAGTGTTTCCTTCCAGTTCACTCTGAGGTCTCTACCTTTCTTCTCTGTCATGCACTCAATAGGAATAGTAATAATACCAATACTTTCTGTGCTGCAACACTCTCTACTTCAAAGCACTTCACAAACACTGGACTAGATTCAGTCTGGTCTTCTATGGATATAAACTTTCTGTTGAAACCCTGGCTCTGTTATAGTGAATGGCAAATTTCCCACTGCCTTCAGCGAGGTTGAGATTTCACTCACTCCTTGTCAAAGAATTTGGGCAAAGCAAACCTTCTGAAAGAAATGAACGTGATAGCTGAAAGGAGATGAAACCTCTCTTCATTTCAGGGAACACATAAATTCTCAAAATGGAGGACAGGCACCTCCAGACTGTTAGGGGAGTGACAAAGGGAAGAAAGCCCAACCAATTATTCATCTCACAGTGTCTCTTTTCTCCTAAGTCAAGCATTAGGACAGTTCTCTGGTTTTGTTGTGCACTTGCATTTGTAAGTCTCTGGTATTTATATAGATATGACTAAACAGCTGCTTGACTTACTAGCTTGCTTATAGCTTACTGACTTCTTGATAGCCTTAGTTTTCCAGTTTTCCGGTACTTTTGCTTATCATTGTCACTTGCAGTTGTTCATATCAGAACAGTAGGGCTTTATGCCTCTTTACACAGAGGCAGACCAGGCAGTAGTCAGATCCTTGCTCACATGCAGGCTCAAATGTGTTTTACTTTTTAACACTTAAAACACTGCCAATGTCTTGAATATTTTTAGTCCTTTTTGCCACATTACTCAGTGAAGACAGCCTTTAAAGTCTTTTTGGGCCAAAGGAGATACTGTATGTTTTCAGAAGTATATTTAGAGGTTGTAAAATGTTAAGTGTTTATTTTGTATGAGTAAACATTGCTTTTATAGTTTTGTGATCCCAAAGAAATTACTAACCATATTCAAGGCTGAAGAGGAGACATAGCACGGAATATCAAAACTGAAGAGTGAGGAAGATATTAAGAAATAAAAATGCTTTAAAAACTAGTTGAAACATTGAGTGATGGCAGCCAGCTATATTTGCTCCTTCAGATCAGGGCTCTCAACCTGAAATCTTTATTTGGGGTAGACTTTGTATGATGTTGCCATCTGCCTTTGCTTTTGAATGATCCTACTGAGCATTTCTACCCTCCTGGGGTAAATAAACCCCATCTGTCCAACAGTGTCTGTTACCTGAGCTGCTCTCATTTTCAGTTGGTACATTCTGAATATGCCAAAGAGCAGTCCTGACATCTTGGCCTTGTTTTTCTTTCTGCTCTTCCATGTGTGTATCTTATTACATGGAAGTATGCTGAGAGGTCGTTTGCCATGTAAAAATGTGATGAAAATTGAAGGAAGACTTCGGATTTTGGCCACAGTTCTTCTACATTTTTTTTCCTATGTATAAGTCTTTACAGCACAGCCAGAAGAGAATGTGGAAACAGCTGAAAAGTAAGTTGCTCTTCTCCTCCTTAGGTCTAAAGTCATAATTTCTCTGCGTATTTTGGAAAAGCTGCTTTCCAAATATGAGCTTCACAGCGTTACTGTGGCCTTGTATTTGCATTCTGTGCCTCATCACTAGGAGCAGCTGAACTAGTTTAAATTCTCAAAAGCAATGAGAAATTCACTAGAGACAATAAATCATAGACATCATGAACTTCTGACTAGTGTGAAGTCATTCAGAAATATATTTCCCACCAGATCTCTGCAGTCTGTGGTATTCCCATCAGGTGATTAATCCTGTGTCAGGGTGCAAAAGGAGACAAGGAAATACAACAGATAAGGAATACAACACTGATTATGCTTCCAGACTCTTTGGGTGATAGAAACAGACTGCAATCAGTTGCAATGCCTTGCATGTATGCCTTTTAAAAATTTTAAATTATGACTCAAGTGATAAAGTGCTCTGAAGTTTAGATATGTGAGTGCATGTAGGGGTCTGTAGGTGTAAAGAATAAAAAATAAAACCACTGCATTATCTTTCCTGACTAGCTGAAAAGAAATATTTTTTGGGAAGTTTTAAGGTTTTCAGTTTTTATTTTTTTCCCCTTTGGGCTGGGACAGCAGTCCCTGTAGTGTAAGAGCAACAAACAATATTTGAAATTGTCTGTTACAGTGATTACTGTCATTATTGGCCTCTGAGTGTGCTTGCTCTCATAGGAAAACTTGGCAGCACTGGATGTTACCAGATGCTTGAAGTTTGAGTAAAAGTGGAGAGGACCACAGGTGTATAAACCCAGGAGAAAGAACAACTCAGTGAACAGGAATTATGATCAAATACAAGAAAGAAGAGTAGGTTGGTGGTGCTTGAGTGAAAAATGCAATTTTTCTATTGCAGAGCTTGAAGAGATTTTTGACTGAAATCAGGGATTTAAAAGAAAAGAGCGGATGCCCTTAAACACTTTCTCCCTGAAGAACTCTAAATGTTGTGGTGATTGCTGTTTGACCTGACTGGCACTGTCTGAATGGGAAGGCATGGGAATAATATTTGGAGCTGTTCATAGGGATTCTGATTGAAATACTGCATGCCTCATAGAAGCAAGGAATGGAAGGTGAGTAGCTTTTGGCTTCAGTCCTTATCCTTTCTTGAACAGTTAAAATGAAGAGAGTGCCATGTAATCAGAACTGAAATTTCATTAAAGACATGGAACAGATTGTGTGGCTCTCATTTACACCTGCACAAATTTGGATTTGGTCCATGAAGCCCAACTAACTGGTGGAACTGAGCCTGGCGTCTCATACGTGCGTGGTCCCTGGCTCTGGCAGCAGTGGCGGGTGAGCTGCTATCAGGAAATGGGGAATGTGTTTCTGTCCTCAGATCTGTGTGCTAAGTGCTAGGCCTGGCCTGACAGATGTTAAAGTGCCTCTGAGTAAGCAGGGAAATTATATACAAAAGTTTCCTATTACGGCTGGAATAAACAATTTCTTAACTTTTGTGTATGCTTGTCTTTCAGAGAGGCACTGTGCTCTGACTCTGTAAGAACATTGATTAATTGCCTCAGTTCCTCTGGATCCCAGCACCTCTGGAACCTGTGGGAAATTCCTTTTCATACTACTACACTGACTTCTCAAAAAAAGTTTAAGTGCTTCATAAGCATAAATTAATTCAGCCAAACAGCATTTCTGTGATGTGGGAAAACCTGTGATGCCTACCTGACACCACTTACTTGACTTGCTTAATATTACAAACTGAATCAGTGATGTAGATAAGAACCAAACTCGGGATCCCTTCTTCTGACCTCCTTGCTTCATGCAGTGAATACAGACATGGCAAACTCACAATATTCAACAAGTGGCTGGATTGTGACTAGTGCACCTTTGCATGATAGTGCAAAAGCAATTCCTTTTATGAATTCTTCCTCCCACTTCAAAAACTACCTTTAGTGAGCGGAGAACGCTCTAAAAATCTCACTCTTAAAAATGTAGCACTGAACCATTTCTGCCCTTAATTTTTTACCCCCGTATAACTGTGAGTGGCTTTACTTAACATTCACAATCCAGTTTCTTACTTAAGTGGCTGAGTTAGCTGACTGGCCTTTAGATTTGGTTCCCCCTGGAGTCAACAGACAGGTGTGTATCTAGGAGGTTCTTCCAAAGCATGATTCAGAGCAAAAGTCCAAGTCAGGTGGTCAGATTTGAGTGAGTGCCTAAAGCCTTGACAAACTCATATTCCTGATTGCAAAAGGCGGGGCTGGGATTCATCTGACAACAAAGTATAAAAGAAGTGAAATATGCCTGACAGAGAAAGACCAAGAGGTGATTATGTCTGTGCTAGGTTTGTGCATCTATGAGGGCTCTAAGCAATAGGAACAAATGTACAGTGGAGACATCTATGTTACAGGCAAATGTGTAGCTGGATTTGCAGTACTGAGCATAACTCAGAAACTACACATTAGTTTTTGAAGGCTGATTAAAATTGCCAGTTTTGCATTAATGACTGGACAACCTGTTGTCATTTGCCCTCTCCCTTACATAAAAACTTCTGCCAGACATTAATTTTCCACTCAGGGAGGCTAAATGCATGTGAACATTATCTTGAATATCTTAAGACAAGACAATGACATTTCTCTGTACAAGTTCAAACACGACTCTCCTATGTTGCAAAGAACTGTCAAATTGAATAACAGGTAGAGTGAAAGCACTTCTTTCCCAAACTATTCAAATGAGCATCACCTTAAATAAACAGAACCTGGCTAAGGGTTACATGAAAGATTTGTCATAGCAAGAAGTAATATTTGAATGATAATATCTCTTAATTTATTCATTATTTAAAGTTACTCTTTTAAATAGACCTAGAGCAGCCTTTCCCAGGTAACCCCTGAGATAAAGTTATCAGTCTCTGTCTCTCATCTTCACTGCATCCTGCTGTAAATAATGCCTTTGCACATGGTATCTCCTAGCAGTGGTGATTGCAGTAACTCTTTGGCTCCCAGCAGAAGTAGCTGGGGGTGTGGTTAAGCCAGGATGCAGCGAACATGATTCATACGAAAAACCTCAGACCTTGGACTGGTTGTAAGGGATTCCCACGTTTATTATGTGGGAAAGTGTTGAACATATTGTATAAATTATACAATGGAGCTGAAAGATTGGGATTTCCCTGTGTTAGTCAGTTGGTTACTACACTAGATTTAGAACGTCATTAAAGAAGAAAATAAGAATCTTTCTTATTATAGACAGAGGACAATATTCAGGATACTTTTTAATTAAGAGAATCCCAGAGAAATTAGAAAGTGATGCAGAAATTGGAGCCACAACTGATTTGCTTTTGCAAATAACCACAACCTTTGTACTGAAATGGCTTGATACTTCTTTTTTTTTTTTTTTTTTTTCTTGAAAGCAGAGTCTCTCTAGCAATTCAGTTTTATTGACAGAAGACACGACCTTTCTGTGGTATTCAGGGCATTTACACTGTCTGACTGATTCTACTTTAGTCATCGTTATGGTGCAGTTTGGAGCCCGGGTGCCTCATACTGCCAGTGTAGAGGAGGCAGGCATGATTCAGAGAAGCCAGGCTAAATGCCTAAAGGAATTTGAAGGAGATGGTGTGAATACCACCTGTGCTTCTACTCTGAACCTCATTTTTCAGTAATTCGTAGTTTTACTGTAAAATTTCTCTTGGAGCTCAACCTTTGCACACATGAAGTCAGGGACTTGTAACAGCCACCAATTTGTAACAGCTGAGAATCTGGCCCAGGATCTCTAATTTTGTTTTTAATAGCTATTTGGAAGAGGTTATTTTACAACTTGTTCTAATATGTACATTCCCAGTAGACTGCTCAGGTAATTACTTAGGCTGTAGTTCAAATATTCCACAGTTTGAAATATGCTTGTAGAAAAATCTATTTTTCTGTGTACAGAGGTATAGAACAGTCACTTCTTTGGCATGTGACTTCTTTGGCACTCCTTTGCAAACAAATCCAAAGTTGTAGGTGGATAAATGAATGAAGATGCAAGTATTTTCAGTTTGTATTTAAGGATACATTTGGAAATGGGTACCTTTGCACAGCAAAAATTTGTTACCTGGCAATACGCAAGGTTACACAGAACAAAGAAAAAATTAAGAAATTATCATGAAAAAGAAGTTTGACATTGAAGAAAAATCTTATATGCCATTTTGAATGCTGTTGACTTTCTCATTGGCTTTTCCTACCTACAAATTTCTCTTATGTTCACAGGTCAATAGGGCTTAGTTTAAGTTTCTATGCTAAACTTATGTATATATTTACATTATGTATCTCCATAATTAATAAGAAATTAAAGATCTCTGAGCCACAACAAATTAAAGTGATATTTCAAACAAGGTGTTCAAGCCTGATAATTTAGTGCTTTAAAGATCCTCCCTGCATAAATGTGAAATTATTCTGAACTGGGCACACTGGATGCATAGGACAGCTTCGTAAGTTAATTTTCCCAGGTTAGAGTCTTAACAAACTGCCTCCGTTTGTATTGTGAAATGTATTTCTCAGCCCTGCTCCTGATTTCCCAGGGAACCCTGCCCTTTATATTAGAAGTGAATAATTAGATCACTGGGTTTAATGTCATTATGCAGCTTGCCAAGGCTGGGTACGCTATCACTTGCTAGAAGGTGTTCTCGGTCACCCTAATGATTGTAAGGCAGGACCAAATCTTTACTTTCCCTTGGGAATCAACCTCAGGGTGGCGTCACTCAGTCAATGCATGACTTTTCTTTCAGGGTTTAACAAGCCTCACCAAAGACTAAATGGTGTATTGTAAAACCAGACCGGCAAAGTCTCACACACCTAACAAATGAGTCCCACTCCTTTTTGCTCTAAGGAAAAATTAAAACTAAGAGAAAAAAAAAAAAGGTCTTGCCTAAAGGGATTTCTCAGTGCTATTAGGAAAAAAAAAATCAAGTCAAACAAATAATTTTCTCATACCTAGAGACACTGTGACACTATCTTTTGCATGACACCATAACTGTGCTTTGGTGGTAGTGATTAAATGCTGTTCAGCAGGCTAAGCCCTGTCTGAGAAGTTCTGTTTAAGAAAAGAGACTTTGTGTAGAATGGGTTGTTTAGCTTTCTAGCAGTTTCAAAAACCAAAAAATTAATAACAAGCGGTTGGATACAATTTTGAGGAAGATTTTTTAGTACATGAGAAATAACTTCAAGAGAATTTTAAAATAAAATTTTCTTTAATCCAGGAATCAAAATGCTCCACATTGAAACATTTTTAAATATAATTTAGATGGATAAATAGTATTGCTACTTGAAATGTTTTAAAATATATTCCTATCTTACCCCTACACAAAATAATTGGGTAAAATATCTGTATGTTACTCAGCACATTTCAACACCTCTATTCTGAAAAAGGACTGTAGCTGCAAATTTTGTAAAATTCAGTCAAAATGACCTGAATTTAATACTGTCTCAGAAGACAAGCCAGGAATAGATTTTTTTTAACACATCATGTGCTTTTACGTGCTGTAGGTACATGTGAGTGCTCTAAGGAGAGGCTGAAACCAGCACTGAAGAAATTCACCCTGAGACCAAGAACATCTTTGAAGCAAATGCCTGCTGCAAGTTAAAATATCAGTGCTTTGTCTTTATTCCACCTGCATATTCATTTAATCTATGTAATGACTATCCTCCTAATATGAAATATTTAACCTCTAAGAACCCTTTGTATATACAGCTTTGCCTTTTCATTTCACACACCTAAACCTTCACTCATATTCAGCCATCCCATCCCCACACAACCAGTACGGGGCATCCACTTCTAAATAATAAGACACATAATTAGCCATTAACACACTAGAGGTTAATGAGTAGGTATAATCTCATTACCGTAATGGGAGTTACAGGTGTAACTTGTAAGCAGCCCTAGGCTGCCAAAGAGTGCAAAGG